GGAAGTGTTTTTTGAAATTATCATGAATATTCAGATGTTTGTCTAAGCATCTGAAGAAAGATTAGTCAATAATGAATATAAGAATACAATAAAAAGTTCAGCATTTGAATAAAATGTTTATAGCATTATTTCTTTGAACTAATCACTTGTAAGGCTTTAAGAATTAAATTTTCTGTGTTCAACATTAGTACAATGGAGAAAGATAATTCAGAGAAGAAAACTTTTCTTATGATGATTTCGTTTACTTAGACTGTACAATTGAACTCATAATAAATATGTTTGCTAAAAATGTTAGTCCATATTGAAACGGAATGGTGTTGAATAATGAGAAACCAGAAGTGGTATTGTGTTATAACTTGTCTACAAAAGTTTGATATTGAAAAGAAGTAATGCAATAATCGGTTTGTGAGAAATTTTAAGACAAAAATAATTGTCCACTTGATAGTTATTAAAAGCAGAAACATTAAAAGTCGTAATAATGACCAATTAATAGTTTTGAAGCTAATTGGAAAGGTACAGGAAAATTCTATAGATCACAGAAGCTAGAAAAAAGGTTACTATCATGTGAAAATACGAGACTGAACACATTGTTTTTATACTCGAATCTCTGTCTTCATTGTTTTTCAACGAAACAAAGAGTCTTATTTGTTATTAGTATAATGTTTCTACATTTACAGTTACAATGAAGAAATTCCATTATGATCCAAGGTACTATATAGGATAAATTAACCGAATTACTATTTCATACACATAGTTCCCTTTATTATTTTAAAGAGAGTAAAAACAAAGGTTGGTGCAGAATAATATGATTTCATTTTGTTTCGTTAGGTTCTCATCAGCTGCTTACAACCTAAAATATTTGAAATTCAACGTTATTACAGATATTGACATACTTATACATCAGAGGGTGATGAAGGATGAATATAAGTAACATGATGTAGCAAAGATTCCGTTCGAGTTAATGAGGTCATAAAATTTTCATTTCGAATGCATAGAGTTTAGGAGGGAAGGCTCCATAATATAGAAATAGTGATTAGAACTCATGGAATTAAAACATTAGATAATTATGTAGTGAAGTAACTGAAAGTAGATTAATGGTAATAAAGAGATATATGAATTGAAATTGGTCAGTTATGAATGATGTAATTATAAAATTCAGAAAGAGTTGGAATGACGTAATAAATAAAAGGTGGGAGGGGGTAATGTTACCAGGGCAAGGAAAGATTTATTACTGTTTCTTTTTGTACACAAAGATCTGGTTTCAAACGTTTGATTGCTATGGCTTCAGGAAATTTCAAAAGGTTTGAATTTGATTGTTTGTTTATCACCTTGAAGGACTTCAGTACATCGACTTCGTGTCCTGCGTCAAGGAGATGTCTTGAGATGGCGCTGCTGAATACTTTTAGTCCGTTCGATCTCAAACCCTTCGGAATATGTTCTTTGAATCGGACGTAGGCTCTACTTTCTGTTCTACCAATGTAACTGCTTTGACAGATACATGTAAATTTGTATACACAGTTGGTGGTAACATGAAAGGGATACCTGTCGACCTTTGATTGTGTCAAAGAACACATTGTTTTGGACAGGAAAATCAATTTAGCTGCTGGATATGTTTTTGTCAATGCAGTTTTTAGTCTCATATTGATTGACCATGTGACAGTATCCCCTTTGAATTTGAGTTGAATAAAAACAGGTTTTTCATTTGATGAAGTTTCTTTGGGTATTTTATCTTCACTTTTTCCATATTTCTCAATAAATTTCAATAAGTATCCGTTATTCCTTAAAGACTTTTTAACATTCATAACTTCCTCTTCTATTGTATCGGCAGTACATATTCTTTCTGTTCTGTGAAACAATGTTTTGACAGGTGCCTTTTTATAATTGATTGGACAAAATCTGTTGAAATTGAGATAAATCCCATTCCGTGTGTCTTTCTTATAAACTGAGCGTTGAACAGTACCATCCTTTCTTCGTTTGATCGCGATATCAAGAAAATGGAACTTGTTTTCTTTTTCATGTTCCATAGTGAAATGAATATTTGGATGAGCTTCATTGAAAAAGTTTAGCAGATTTGTTGCATGTTGTTGATTATTACATACGATGAAGGTATCATCAACATACCTCGGATAATACATCATTTTATCAATCTCTCCTTTGAGCTTGGTTCTTTCAAGGTTAGCCATGAAATATCTGCAAGGACAGAGCCTAACGGACTTTCCATTGCTACGCCATCGGTTTGACGGTATATAGTATTGTTGAATTGGAATTGAACATCTTTTGTACACATGAATTGCTATTGTATGTATTCAACACCGACGTGCAATGCTGACTAGTGATGGGGATGGTTGAAAGAAAGTTAGGGGCGGTCAAACCAAAACGTGGCATCAGTCCTTGAAGTCAATACTAGTGTGAGACATGTTGGTGGATGCAGACTACTTGGTTGGGGTCCGCGTGACTATCGTAACTAATGGTTGGAGACTCTTGGTGACATGGCTCAGAATCGATCACACTAGTGTGGGTGTCTACACTCTCTGTTTTTCCTTAAACTGTGAGACTAAAATTGTTTTGTATCTTTCTTTTTACCAACTAATTCTCTCTTTCTGTATTATATCCTTATACACAATTTTTCTTTAATATATTACTACCATTAAAGTGACTAGTTCTATGAATTTGGTGTTCATCATGTTGTGCTAACGAGGTATGGCAACTTGGACCGATGAATAAATGCGCCACAAAAGTCTCATTAGATTTGTGTGAGGGCTGTGATGCTGCCCGGGTGCTCAGACCAAAACAGGTAGTTTTCTTAGGGGGCCACACCCGGAGTCTTCAACCTAAAGGTCTGATTGACAAGGCAGCGTAGCATCGTGAGGAGATACAGTCCCATGGTAGCCGGTGACCAAGAAATTGGTTCATACGCCATTTGTTTCCTCAGGATACTGAAGTCCATGTGCACCGTTGGTTTGGAATCAGGGCGGACTCTGTGTCCACCAACTCGGTTAAAGCGCCGAACATTCGCTTTTCGTCCTTCCAATTTTGCACACAACACCCCCGCCACGAGAAGGCAGTGAGAAGGCCTTCTCTGGTAGAGGCTATATACGCCTGGCCATATGAGAGCATTTCGAGAGGACGGGCGGACTCTACCCACTCTCGGCCGTACCAGGGCATTTGGGGACAAAAATGTAATCACACTATACAAAGCACCACATATCATCAATCGTAATTAAAATTTGTTTATTTATTATGGATTAAAATAACCACTAAAATGATAAATGCTGACATCCGCAGATCTTTAATCGAAAATAATATTGTAGGCATTATTCTTAAAAGAAACAAATTATTTTTATTTTCGGCTTGTTTTTATTTATAACGAAGTTCATTTTTGTTGACCTACAGTATGTTATTGTACTAAAACAAATAAATATTTTGCATAACATCTAATTTATTTGTTTTTATTTAGTTCGCCAATATTGTTAAAATTGTTTGATGAAAATGGGAATCAAAAGCTTATATAGAATAAGTTCAGATCAGAATTAATACTTAGTGTTATCCAGTGTTATTACCTGTTTATACAAATTTCTAAAAAAAATTACAATAAATTTCATGCTACTTAATTCCCTTATGCTTTAACGTTTGGACAGAAAAATTTACTTAACTAGTTGCAAATGACATGTATGTACATATATTTGTATGTTAATAAATGAAGTAAAGTCATACTTATCTATGTGACTAACTTTCTTTTACTGAGACGACTTCAACTGGATCTATTCAATAGATAAAATTCATTGTTTGTGATCTGGCTTGCCCCAAATAATGTTTCGATCTAATAGTTACTGTCAGTTGTTTGAATTGATGAATAAAGTATTCAGATTATAAAGTGAGAAAATATTTTCATGATACTGTAGTTCATGAGACAGATGGTAGTTTCCATTGCTTAATTAATGAAAAAGTGAACTTTTCAGTTATTTCACAAGTATTAAACCAATACATCATAATGGCCTTGTTTGTGACAGGCGTTTTTATCTTGATTCGTTTTTACATCTCTGTTAACTGACTTTTTCGGTTGATCTCTTCCATATGGGTTATTAAATTGGATTTGTATTGTTTGTTGTCTAGAAAGACAATCAAATCTTCATAATTAAAATATCAACTATTGTAAAGAACATAATTCTCTGAAAGGCATCCATTAACATATGTATGAGGTCTTAATGATTATATAATAGCATAATTACCTGTTTTGTCCACAAACGTAACGCATATTTACGATTTTTCAACTAATTATGTGTTATCAAATAAACAAGAAGACAAATGTTTATCTCTAAGTGATGATAGTCTATTCATTATTATTATTATTATTATTATTATTATTATTATTATTATTATTATTATTATTAACAATCAAATTAAGGCTAGTATCAGTTTTAAAAACAGTAATTATCTTTTTCTATTTGCTAATAACTATGTCCGTTTCTGATTTCAATAACTTTACAAACAATACTGTTTATATGATTGATATTAAAAAATGAATATTTTTCATTGATTTATTTGAACAACTAGAATGTAAGCTTTTTAATAAAAATTATTTCTTCATCGAATTCACAACCATAGTGAATTTATAAATTTGTTTCAATAGGAAAAACTAGTTAGTCGTCTGTTTAAAGTAAAAATCCGCTATAAAAGTGAATTCTCTACTGTGGTGTGTGATAGTGATGTCGACTGATATAAGTAGTATGTATCATCAATCGAAAGTGAAATGCCTGGCAGCAGGAGATTAAGATGATCAATGAAAAGAGAACGAGAACATAGAATGTTTGATATAAAAACGAAGGAACAATAAATTCCAAGACAATTGATTGGTATTTCGCAAATGAAGTATGTACTGTATGGTTTTCAGATTTTATTAAGATGCATGATGAAATTCATCTTAAACATATAACAATGATTTCATGTGTCTAGATGAAAACGTTCATAAAAATTATTCATAATGAATTTCTTTTTTTAAGTTAAAACAGGTTACAGTTTAGTCGCAGCCAACGTTCAGCATGAAACGGCACCCGATCTAATCGGACCTCAGATTTACGCGTTTGGTCCTAAAGATCAGTTGAGTGATGCATTCAAAAAGTCAGAGAAGTTGCAACAATACGGTTGCTATTATCATCACGACATTACATCGAAAAGAAAAGTAACTGAACAGAAAAATCAGTTTTTTGATGGCTGGCGATCAAACTCTTATTCCAAATTATGGTTTGGTGAAAATGTACAGTTTCTCTCAATTAACAATGTAAATTCCAAATATTTCTACATCATATTTACTGAACAAGATATAAGTGGACCGTATACTGCCTACGAAGGATCAGTAAGTCAGTTTTTATTATAAATATTCGTTATTCTTAGACCTTTTACATCATGATTTTACAATTTTTAAAGGTTAAGGCTTCGTGTGCAACAACATAGGTTCTGAGTTCTATTTTCGAGTGCAAGATCGTAGATGCACACTGCTGAAGAATTCCATACTTCCATACGATCATCCATTGCTTCAGATGTTCACTTCTAGTCAAGCCTAAATCGTTTCATGACTTCGATAGGAAAAAACCAATATTATCCATAGCTATATACTGATAACTCAGTAATGTACTTCACAACATCACATTTACTTCGTTTTTGAGGACAAAAACAACAGTAAAATAAATTCACTACTAATTTATAAATAATATATAGCAACCAAAAAATAATTTACAATTTGTACGACTAATACAATATCCGTCTTCGATTGTATTTTATCATGAATGACATTCTGTGAGCAGAAAATAAATAAATAATTACATAAACAAATCTTTTTTCATAATTAGTAATAGAAATACCTGCATTTCTATTTGCCATTTATTACTTACTTACTTACTTACGCCTGTTACTCCTCGTGAAGGAGCATAGGCCGCTCACCAGCATTCTCCATCCAACCCTGTCCTGGGCAATCCTTTCCAGCTCTTTCCAGTTGTTATTCATCCTTTTCATGTCTCGACGTAGTGTGTTCTTTGGCCTTCCTCTTTTCCGCTTCCTTTCAGGATTCCAAGTTAGCGCTTGTCTCGTAATGCAGTTTGATGATTTCCTCAATGTATGTCCTATCCATTTCCATCGTCTTTTCCTAATTTCCTCTTCAGCTGGAAGCTGGTTGGTTCTCTCCCACAAAAGGCTGTTGCTGATGGTATCCGACCAATGGATGTTGAATATCATGCGTAGACAGCTATTGATAAATACCTGTACCTTCTTGATGGTGGTGGTTGTAGTTCTCCAAGTTTCAGCTCTGTACAGTAGAACTGCCTTGACGTTCGTATTGAAGATTCTGACTTTGATATTGGTTGAAAGTTGTTTTGAGTTCCATATGCTCTTCAGTTGAAGGAATGCCGCTCTAGCTTTGCCAATCCTCTCCTTGACGTCTGCATCTGAACCTCCTTGTTTATCGACGATGCTTCCCAGGTATGTGAAGGATTCCACGTCTTCCAGAGTTTCGCCATCAAGAGTGATTGGATTGCTGTTCTCCGTGTTGTGTTTGAGGACCCTGGTTTTCCCTTTGTGTATGTTGAGGCCTACTGATGCAGAGACTGCTGCTATGCTGGCTGTCTTTATCTGCATTTGTTCGTGTGTATGTGATAGGAGGGCTAGGTCATCTGCGAAGTCCAAGTCGTCTAATTGGTTCTGAGATGTCCATCGTATGCCGTGGTTTCCCTCAGATGTCGAGGTCTTCATAATCCAGTCGACCACCAGGAGAAACAGGAAGGGAGAGAGTAGACAGCCTTGTCTTACTCCGGTCCTTACTTGGAATGCGTCTGTCAGCTGTCCTCCATGCACTACTTTGCACTGTAGTCCATCGTATGAGTTCCGGATAATGTTGACAATCTTCTCAGGAACTCCGTAGTGTCGAAGAAGTTTCCATAACGTCCTCCTATCTACACTGTCAAATGCCTTCTCATAATCAGTGAAGTTGATGTAGAGTGACGAGTTCCACTCAATTGATTGTTCGACGATGATCCGTAGTGTCGCAATCTGGTCTGTGCACGACCGGTCCTTACGGAATCCAGCTTGTTGATCTCGAAGTTGAGCGTCAACTGCGTCTTTCATCCTGTTCAGTAACACTCTGTTGAAGACTTTACCCGGTATTGACAGTACTGTAATGCCTCTGTAGTTTTCACACTTGCTCAGATCTCCTTTCTTTGGAATCTTGATGAGGTGTCCTTCTTTCCAATCCATCGGCACTTGTTCCTCCTCCCAAATCTTCTTGAATAGAAGATGAAGCATGCTTGTAGTTACTTGGATGTCTGACTCCAACGCTTCAGCTGGTATATTGTCAGGTCCTGCTGCTTTCCCGCTCTTGATTTGTCTGATGGCCATTCTGATTTCTTCGGTCGTTGGTGGATTGACATCAATAGGAAGATCTGTGTGTGCTGCTTCGATGTCCGGTGGATTCATTGGAGCCGACCTGTTCAGGAGTTCCTCGAAGTACTCTGCCCATCTGTTGCGCTGTTGTTGAATCTCAGTGATTGGTCTTCCTTCTTTGTCTTTGACTGATCTCTCTGGTTTACTGTATTTCCCTGCTAGCTTCTTCGTCGTATCGTAAAGCTGTCTCATATTTCCTTCTCGTGCAGCTTTTTTCACCGTCGTTGTTAGTTCTTCCACGTATTTTTGCTTGTCATCTCTAATGCTCCTCTTCACTTGCTTGTTTGCTTCTATGTACCCAGCTTGTGCTTGGACTTTCTCTGCTCTTGTTCGACTGTTGTTAATTGCTGTCTTCTTGTTCTTTCTTTCTTTGATCCTGTCCAGTGTTTCTATAGAGATCCATTCCTTGTGATGATGCTTCTTGGGGTCCAGAACCTCTTGACACGTTGAAGTTATTGCTTCTTTGATACCTTTCCAGCTATCCTCCATAGTAGTTTCTTCTTCGTTCAGTAGATCCTGTAAGGCTTGGAACCTGTTGTTGAGAACTACCTTGAATTCATTGAGTTTGTCAGTATCTCGAAGGAAGGCTGTATTGAACCTTTGTGGTGCTGTTTGTCCAGTTGTCCAGTTCTTCTTTAGCTTCAGTTTCAATTTGGCCACAACCAGGTGGTGATCTGAAGCTATGTCCGCTCCTCTCCTGGTTTTCACATCTTCCATTGTCCTTCGGAACTTTTTATTGATACAAATATGATCTATCTGGTTCTCTGTGGTGTGGTCCGGTGAGATCCATGTAGCTTTGTGTATACGTTTGTGTGGAAATATTGTACCGCCTATGACCAATTTATTGAATGCACACAGATTTGCAAATCTTTCCCCGTTTTTGTTCCTCTCTCCCAGTCCATGTAGTCCCATAATGTCTTCATATCCGGTGTTGTCCATTCCGACTTTGGCGTTTAGATCTCCCATCAGAATGGTGAGGTCCTTTCTTGGGCACTTCTCTTTGATTGATTGCAGCTTCTCATAGAATTGATCTTTAACGTCGTCGTTGATATCATTGGTGGGTGCATAACATTGGATAATGTTCAGTGTGATCCCCTCCTTTGTTTTGAATGATGCTTTGATGATTCTGGATCCGTGAGATTCCCATCCTAACAGTGCATTTAGTGCTACTTTGGATAGCATTAGAGCAACTCCCTGAGTGTGTGGAGCATTTTCCTCTTTGTGACCGGAGTATAGCAGCATCTCTCCCGTATTTAGCCTTTGTTGTCCAGCTTGTGTCAAATGGGTTTCACTGATTCCCAGTACCGCCAAGTTGTATCGCCTCATTTCCGTTGCTATTTGACTGGTCTTCTTAGTCTCCCACATTGTCCGGACGTTCCATGTACCTTGTGGTGGTCGGTGTTCGATATATTCCTTAAACTCCGTATACAGTACGTCTCGGTAACCGTCACCAAATAATGCTCCAACGGTATATTAATCAGAAGGCGAATACGAAGCGTTAATTACGTTTATTAAGGGACCACACACAGATATCCAAAATTACAGATGCGTTAAGCAAGCATTAAATAGTTGTGCCGAAAGGCAAACAGGCAAGCGATCGGGCGAGAGAGAGCAAGGGCAAGAGCGAGCGATCGAGCGAGTGAATGAACGAGCGAGCGAGTCATGAATATGAATAACATGGACATATATACATAGTGAAATTAATGAATCATCGAGTCAATTAAGCGGTTAATAGTAAAGCTAGTAGCGTGAATAAATGCGTAGGCAGTAAGGCTTGCCGAGCATACGTATTCATACAAGGATAACAATAATAAAGGTACATAAATTCGCAACAGTAATAAGGATACAATAAGTTATTGTAGTGCAGGTGACTTTGTCCGTTTAATAAGTTAATAAAAGGGCTTAACCGAATAGATGAGAGCAAACTCAATTGAACGTGAGTTGCTATAATAGCTCCTCCCAGCAAACAAAGATACAAAAGTGTCTGTGTTTGCGAAAAAAAATGTCAAATTTAACAAGATGGGAAATATCAAAATTTACGAAATTAAGATATATGATAGAACTATCGTATAAGTTATTAAAAATATGTGTAAGTTTGAGTTGGTATATGTCCGTGAGGCCAAATAAGATCATAACGGAAGATCGAAAGAATACATAAAATATGTTGAATATAATAATAGATAAGCTAAAATTTTCGATTTGTACATAGAAAATGAAGATTAAATTTACATTCGAAGAGGTGAAAGAAATTATCAATTCAAAATCGTAGCTATGTATCGTTGCGGCCATCTCACTCTTCGGCCATATCTCGTCGTTACTGGATTTTCTTCGTTTGTGTTGGTCGATGTCGTTGATGATTGGGACTTGCGTTTCGGTGGTTCGACGGTTTTCGAAGTATCTGTATATACTGTCTGATCGTCGGTTTCGATGAAAGCTGGTTTGACTCTGTCGATGCTAATTACATCCGTTTTTCCAGCTTTTTCTATCGTAATAGTTTTATCGTTTCTTTTAATCACCTTGAATGGACCATCGTAGGCCGGTTGTAAGGGACGCTGCACATTATCCCTTCTGATAAACACATGGGTACTATCGGTCAGTCGTTTTGGCATGTATACACGATGTTGCTGTTGCCTCGGAAGCGTTATCCTCAGATCACCCATATGTTGCTTTAGACGTTGTACATAGTTGGCTATGTCATTTGGAACACTTTTACCTGAGGTGAAAATTTCTCCTGGTAGACGTAAAGTAGTTCCATAAACCAATTCTGCTGGGCAGCATCCTATATCTTGCTTAATTGTTGATCTTAAACTCAACATGACCAATGGAAGCTTGCTGGCCCAATCATTATTGTTAATGACAGCTGTGAGTGAGGCTTTAAGTTGCCGATGTAATCTCTCTACCATACCATTTGACATCGGATGGTAG